AGTCCCTCTTTAGGGACAGTTTCATCAACTCCACATCCTCCTCTTCACCTTCTCCTTCTTGGTCACGGTCTGTCTCAGCTTCAGGTTCATGGTCCGCACTCGGTGTCTTCACAGTCTCACGCTTCTTCTGGCTTGCGGCTTCTTGCACCGCAGCATCAAGCAAAGCTTCCTGCCACAACGTGCCAACAACATCCAGCAACGCACAAAAACACATTACACACAAACACAGTAAAAGCTCAGTGAGTTATAGCCCCCAACCATCATGGCCAAAGTGTCCCCATTGTGCTTCAAAAGCTCCAGCCGGAGACACGTTCATGCACAGAAATGACAGCGATATGTCCATGCACAGAAGCGACAGCAAGCGCAAAGTAATTGGTTGGTAAGCTTCAGAGTGTGAATGTTACTGGAAGTCTCAACAACCAAGATGCAGCGATCTCATGGAATTTCTCATCTGGGACTCCATCCCGAGGTTTCATCTTCCAGGGAAACAGTAATAACAGCAACAATAACAACTGACGCAGCAACAGTTCACAGAGGTAAATCAAACATACCACCCCGAATCTCAAGACTTTCTTCTTCGGGAGCTTGAAGCCGTAGATTTGATTGGACGGGTACTGGTACTTCCAACAGCGAAGGAAATTGCGACGAGTTCGATCTGCCAACACAGGATTTGGTGACGAGTTCGAACTCCCAACATAGGATTTTGTGACGAGTTCGATCTGCCAACACAGGAATTTGTGACGAGTTCGAACTCCCAACACCGGAAATTTGTGACGAGTTCGAACTCCCAACGCAGGACTTTGACGAGTAGATGTTGTTGTATTTCAAGATTGTGACGAGTTGTGCCCCGGCTCTTCACAAAACCTGGCCTTTCACTGCAGGGTCTTTTTCAGACGACCTGCGCCCCGACTCTGCACAAAAGGCTTGGCCCCCACAGGGCCAATTTTCTTGGGTCACCCGCTGGTAAATATTCAGGGTCTTCACAAATTTGGTTGTCCAGATTGGAGGCTTTTTTTAGACGATCGTGGTCTTCAGAAACACATGGGCCCTGTACTTCTTGGAAGTCATGCTTGGTACACAAACAGTTACAAGGTTCTCAACTGACGGCATCGCGCTCTTCCTTAAAACAGTCCTGCTTTCCGCTGATGGAAATGTAGTCAGTGGTTGCGGTGTACGTGGCAGAGAAGCATCCTAAATGACCAAAACAATAACTGAACAATGTACACAACATTACAATGACGACGACAACGACAACATCGTAACATCATGCCAAGAAGTTCTTTTAGTTTTCAATCTGCATTGGGCCGCCTACTCACGCAACCCATGCTTTGCAAGACAAACTTTCCATGTTGGAGCTCCACATTGCCCGGAGGCTTGGGGTTTCTCGGTGGAACCTGAGCCAAGTGGGTATGTTGCGTAACCAAGGTGTCACGCCTATGTGGCCTACAAGGTCAAGAAGCTGGCGCACTTGTTGTGTTTGTTGCACTGTTGTAACTTGTAACGGGTTGTGTATGGTGCTGTGTTTCAACATGTGTCGTGTGGTTGTAGTGCTCCAACGTGTGTTGAAAACATGTGATTGCAAGTAAGTGCTACAAACTGGTTGCGTGACAAGTCACAACTTCCAGCTGGGAGCTTTGCTCGTGCACACTGTGGAAATCCAACCGGCTTCCATCCAACCACCTGTCCCTGAACAAAGCGGCCAAACTGAGGGTACCGGGTTGGATCCTTCCTCGTCTTCAAGGTTCCCTTCTCCACCTTGGTAGCCCTGGTCGCTCCCTTCTTGGCAGGCGTTGAGACCACGTTGTCCACTTCTGGTCTTAGCGTGCGTAACAGTGACAGTGTACCCAACAGTGGTGAGCGACAAAGCCAGCGCAACAATGAAACCAAGTAAGATCAAGTAAGACACAGACTCACTCAGTTGATCCACGTTCACAAAGGACATGTGTAGTGGAGACAAGCTGAAGCGAAATGGCTTTGAGGCTCGATATTCAGCAAGCAACAACCATCAACAACCTAACAAGTTAGTTCGGTATGCAAAGATTTGTGAAACCCTGGTTGCAAAATGGAACCCTGGTTACTAAGCAAAAGTCTTTATGTTTGAAGCACCCAAGGGGTGCCTTTTGCAAGGATAACGCATACTGACTGTGTAGGGTGGTCAGGTGGTCTGTAAAGATCTATAAACCACCCGTTTCGTGGCGCTGGTATGTTGGATGTTTGACTTGCTGAGGAGCTGATTACGTGCACTTTGGTACTTTGAAACCTAGAAAAGGATCTGCAGCACAAAAGAAGTATTTGGCCTTAAGCCTTAAGCGCAACCTTTGAAGACATTTGATCAGAAGGCGGCAGATGCATGTGGGTGAAAGTACCCTGATGTTCACCTCAAATGAGCAGATACATGGCCTTCCCCAATTGAAGGCAGATCAGAATTGCCTGTCTTGAGATTCAGGGAATCCCCCACCCGATATTTTGAATGCTGAAAGGAAGTGCTGTGAGCAATCTGTGGCATATTCAAAGGGAGTCGAAAGATCAGAAGGGACCAGGCAGTTGGCATCCGTTTCAATGCTGTTAAATGCCATAATAAGGCTTTGTGAAATGATGAGGGTGTGTCTCAAAAATGATACCCATTGGAGCCCTTGCACGGCTTTCTACAAGTTCCTGTAGCCCACCTCGCTACTGTTTTCACCGCTCGGAACCAGCTTGGCACCTGAGATTGCACCTGCTTGGCGCTGTGTTAGTTTGGACCTTCTTCCACGACTGGCTGGGCAACAAAAGTCCAAGCACCTAACCCAGTCGGTCGCCCAACCCCCTGTACGAACTACAATCTAGCATTTGCAGAACCATCAGGGCTCGTGCCCTTCAGCCCTTCCAGATTGGCCGATGCACCAACCCGCCCCGTGGGTCAGTGCAGCTCAAGAGAACACAACAAAGGACCAAGGCAGAGGAGGTGCGAGGCGCCAAGAGCTTCTGGGGCAAGATCGCCTGACACCTTCCACACACTTAGATAAAGGGTTTGCAGTTACATTTGTTCCACGTCGAAAAGGTGAGGGAACGGAATGGTGCAAAATCAGCTTAACTGAAATGTTTAACAATGTTGACGCGTGACTGCGGAAGGCTGCGGTAGCTCAGCTGCAAACGCGGAGGGAAACCTGTTTGTGGGAAGGTATCATGGACAACCACCCCACCATGGAACCAAAAAAAATTGCTTTCAGTGCAGGTGCACACGGGCGATCAATCCGTGCTTCCCACTCCAAGGCATAGCTGAGTTTGCCAAGGAGTGCTCAGTGCCCTTGCTTGCATGGTGGAAAAACTCTTGGGGACAGAGTGTGACACACAGACACACGCAGTCGAGCCCTCTGTCCTGCTCCTCACAGCCATTCACAGCCCTTCCACGTTGGGGGTACTGGAGGTAGTACTGGTGGAGGTTTATGAAAAGTAGACAAAAATCAAGGTGTTGGCCACACAAGCACGCAGGCGCAGGCGGGGGAGTATTTTGCTGACCACTCCATCCCATCCCATCCACGCGAGTTTGATGCACATGTTGCTGTCGGCCCGCTGGCGTACTCCAGCCATTTGCTTCTGTTGACTTCGTGGGCTTTTTCGTTATGAGCCACTGCGTGAACCACTCATCTTTGATTCTCCTTTGCCTTAGACATCGCGGGGCAGTGCAGGCAGTAGATAAAGCCATAGACATCGTGGTGTTGTCCTAAGTCAACGTTTGTGAAATGTCGGCAATATATGTACCGTGTTTTCAAAAATCGGTGGCACTGGCTCCCCAAAAGTGACATCTATAGATTCCATGGATTCGTCCGGCTACGCTGAGGACCGGTCCGCCGGACCGAGGCGCCCTGCAGACTGCTCGGGGTGGGACGGGCCGGGCCCGGCCCTTCAAAGGCCCCCTTACGGGTGGATGAAGGGCCCCCCCTTTATGCATATACTTATATAAAAAGATGTGTTGGGGAAGAATCGATGGAAGTAGGACTGGAAGTAGGATGAGTATGGATGTTCGATAGGATTTGGATGGCATCCGCGATTGGCAGCACCCCCCATGTAGTCTGGAAAGCAAACGATAGAGTCTTCAACTAGTCAGTCCAGATCAGTCCAGTCTAGACTTTAGAACATTTGATAGTGAGAGTGTTCGCAGGCCGGGCTATTCCTTTTACAAGGCACATGAACGGCAACGGTTCAATTGAAGGTGAAACAACCCATGTACATAGATCCTTTCCTTTAACGCAGCGATGCATTGCTTCGAAGAAAATGCCGCATGTTCAGATCTTTAGGAGCGTTGTCGCGACGTGAAATGAATACAACGAATACGAAAAGAAACGTTAAGAGATGTTGAAACCACAACGTCTGTGGAGCCGAGGGCAGCCGAGGCAGTCATTTTCGTCGTGGAATCCTCTTGGATGTTTCAGATTCGTCTCGGATTTTGCAGCTGCTTTTGGAGCCACCGAAAGAGAGAACCAGCTCCACAGACAGTGAGAAGACGCATCTGCAGAAAGCAGAGAAGCATCATCGAGAACTGATTATTTTTGGCCATGTCACTGACAACTCAGCAACAATAACAACATCCCCAAGAGTGACGGAGACGGTGCGATTTCTATCTATGTCTCAACAACATCCAAACCCCAGAGAAGGGACGGTCGACCAAGGTCAGCTTCACTTCGTAGACCCACCGAAGTAGGCTATGGGATGCTATGGGTATATAGGTGACGTTGAAACCAACTCGAAAACGGAATGCACTGGACAAAACAGACAAAAGCACACCAAAGAATTGAAGAAGAAGCACCAGAGAATTTAAACCATGCTTCGCACAGACCCAAACACCACACCAAACCAAAACAAAACAAACACCAGACCCAACCAGACCAAACCAAACCAAAGATGACACAGACACAGACATATCACAGACCAGTCAACGGCTTCGACACCGGGGATGAGCGCTGGGGATCAAGATGAAGTTTGCACAGTTTGTGATGGGACCCGCCGGGTGCGGCAAGCGCATGCCTCGGTCGCGGTGTCGGTTGTTCGGCTTTACCGAAAAACCGACACCGCCCCACCCGACTCGCCTGACCCGCCATTTCGGAGGGGTCTTACTGGGAGTTGGGACATGGGAAGAAAGTCATTCGCAGGATTTTGTTTGCAGATGTTTCGTTTGGAGGAGACTCGACGCTTTTGTTGTTTCGTTTTCGATCGTTTTCGCTGCCGCACTGAGGTCCACATATTGCGGCATCATTCAGGATGCCGTGTCCAGCCTTTCCACCTGCATCGTTATATGCATATGATATCATATGATCATATGATCAACATTTCGTGACTTCTGTGTGTGTCCACAGCTTTAACTGTCGGTGATTATTTGCTGTCGGAACTTGCTTTAACTGTCGGTGGCGGAAATCTTCCAGGAGCACTTCAAAGTGGCCCTCCGGCGCACTTGCAGGCGACCGTTGGCGCAAACGATTCAATTTCTGCCACACGACTTGGTGGCCACCGGTGGCCAGGGTGGTGAACTTGGACCCTGCGGCAGAAAACTTTGCCTACGATTGCTACGTCGATGTGCCTTGGAACCGATCCGATGTTGCTGTTCCACAATCTGGAAGACATCGTGAAGCGATGCCAGGAGCTACACTCGTAGCTTCTTGTTTTTTTTCGTAGCGATGCCCTTTGCTCCTAGTAGCGAACATTGCTCCTAGTAGTAAGGCCAGGAGCCCCTAGTAATTAGCGTCCTTGCTCCGTTCGTAGCGATGCCACAAGCCCCGAACGTAGCTTCTTGTTCCTATGTAGCGATGCCCTTTTCCACCCAGTTCGCTTCTCACCTCGCTCCGTCAGGTGCGAGAGCTCATCTCCGTCGATGACGCCATGGAGGCGACGCGCAGGGATGCGACGCGACGTGGCCCGAGCCATGGAGCTGTCTAGACGGTCATGTCAGGTCCAGAAGAGCCGTTTTTTGGGGGAAAACATCCAAATGTAGGTCCCGATGGTCCAGCAACCTGGCAAATCCAATGACCCTAACAAGTCCAGTTCGAAGTGAAGAAAACTTCTTTTCGGGTCAGCTCAAGGCCATGTTTGAATGTTTTGGATTCCCAGGGCTATATCAAAAATTACTATGATATGTAATTTATGTTCATGAAAGTTCTTTGCATCCCTGGTTTTGCGGTGATGTTTTTTCGATATGGGCGAATCCTCTTCTGGGGACCATGCTGTGCTTTCTTAATGTTTCTTCTCAGCTCCTTAAAGCAACCACGGATCCCTTTGGTCATCTTCCACTGGCCAGCCCATCACTCCAGCCACTCCTTTGACCAGAGGAGTTGGACTACGGACCCAACGGTGGTCTCATCTTCGCCATGGAATATTTGTCGGAGAACATGAGTTGGTTGGAGGAGACTGAAGCGATCACTGAGATGCCAATCAGTCTAAAGCTGCATCACCAACATAATCACTGACGAAAACAAACAACTTAAACTGTAGGTTGACAACCTACAGTCCTATCCAAAAAGATCAAACAGCATCATTAGCATCATTGTCGGGAACAACAGCTATTGAAGTGGCAAGTTGAAAATTCCCAATGGCTTCTAATGTGTACACATTCCAAAGGCATCATTCTGCGAGCCCTTCAAGCATGTTCATCCTTTTGAATGATGGATGTCTCATTGTTTAATTCACCATCACTTTTCCTGTGGTGCTGGTGGGAGCTTCCTGAAGCTACTTGTACCGTTTAACACAACGTCATAATTGCTTGCGGACACACACAGCTGTAGGTTGGCAGCTTAGAGCCTATCAAAAACATCATCAGCATCATTGCCCGGGAACACAAGCGATTGAAGTGGCAGGTTGCAATCCCAATGGTTTATGATATCAATTGCGTGTGTACACCTTCCAAAGGCGTCGCACTTCAATATTAATCTTTCTCCCTGACGGATATCTCATTGTTTAATTCACCGTCAGTTGTCCTGTGGTGCTGGTGGGCGCTTCCTGAAGCTACAGTTTAATACAACATCACAATCAAATTGCTTGCTTTCGGACACAAACAGCTGTAGGTTGGCAACCTACAGCCTATCAAACAAACATACTAAGCATCATTGCCCGGGAACAACAACTATTTAAGTGGCAGGTTGATATCCCAATGCCTCTTGACATCAATTGCGTGTGTGCACCTTCCAAGGGTGTCATTTTGCGAGCACTTCAATATTAATAGTTTTGACTGATGGATGTCTCATTGTTTAATTCACCGTCAGTTGTCCTCTGGTGCTGGTGGGTGCTTCCTGAAGCTACAATGTAACATGGCGTCACCATCAATATGTGCTTGCAGACACAAACAGGTGTAGGTTGGCAACCTACAGCCATGCCAAAAAGCATAATCGAACATGAGTTGGTTGGAGGAGACTGAAGCGATCACTGAGATGCCAATCAGTCTAATGCTGCATCACCAACATAATCACTTACGAAAACAAACAACTTAAACTGTAGGTTGACAACCTACAGCCCTATCCAAAAAGATCAAACAGCATCATTAGCATCATTGTCGGGAACAACAGCTATTGAAGTGGCAAGTTGAAAATTCCCAATGGCTTCTAACATCAATTGCGTGTGTACACCTTCCAAGGGCATCATTCTGCGAGCCCTTCAAGCATGTTCATCCTTTTGAGTGATGGCTGTCTCATATTCACCTTGGGTTGCACTGCTGGTTGGTGCTTCCTGAAGCTATAGTTTTACACAAATCACGATCATAATTGCTTGCGGACACAAACAGCCTTAAACATCATTGCCCTGGAACATCAACTATTGAAGTGGCAGGGCGAAATCCCAATGGCCTCAATTGCCTGTGTACACCTTCCAAGGGCATCATTCTGCAAGCACTTCAATATTAATCTTGTTGACTGATGGATGTTTTATTGTTTAATTCATCGTCAGTTGTCCTGTGGTGCTGGTGGGTGCTTCCTGAAGCTACAGTTTAGCACAACATCACCATCATCATGGCCTGCGGACACAAACAGCTGTAGGTTGGCAACCTACAGCCAATCAAAAAATGAAGTAATAATTATTCGGAATCAATAACCATTTAAGTGGCAGGTTGAAATACCAATGGCTTCTGACATCAACTGCGTGTGTACACATTCCAAGGGCATCATTCTGCAAGCACTTCAATAATACTCCTTTTGACTGATGGATGTCTCATTGCTTAATTCATCGTCAGTTGTCCTGTGGTGCTGGTGGGTGCTTCCTGAAGCTGCAGTTTAACACAACATCACCATCATAATTGCTTATGGACACAAACAGCTATAGGTTGGCAACCTACAGCCATGTCAAAAAGCATTTTCAGCATCATTGCCCGGGAACATCAACTATTGAAGTGGCAGGTTGAAATCCCAATGGCTTCTGACATCAACTGCGTGTGTACACCTTCCAAGGGCATCATTCTGCAAGCACTTCAATATTAATCTGTTTGGCTGATGGATGTCTCATTGTTTAATTCATCGTCAGTTGTCCTGTGGTGCTGGTGTGTGCTTCCTGAAGCTGCAGTTTAACACAACATAACCATCATAATTGCTTGCGGACGCTAACAGCTGTAGGTTGGCAACCTACAGCCCATCAAGAAACATAATCAGCATCATTGCCTGGGAACATCAATAATTGAAGTGGCAGGTCCCAATGGCTCCTAACATCAACTGCGTGTGTACACCTTCCAAGGGCGTCATTCTGCGAGCACTTCAAACATGTTCATCCTTTTGACTGATGGATTTATCATTGTTTGATTCACCTTCAGTTGCACTGTGTTGCTGGTTGGTGCTTCTGAAGCTACAGTTTAATACAACATTGAATCATAATTGATGGCGGACAGAAGCAACTTAACTGCAGGTTGGCAACCTACAGCCTATCAAAAAACATAATCAGCATCATTGCCCGGGAACAGCAACTGTTGAAGTGATAGTTTGAAATCAAGCATGCGAGCATTTCAAGTTTGTCAAAGCAGCATCACCAGCATATTTTCTTGCGGGCACAAACAGCTTAAGCTGTAGGTTGGCAACCTACAGCCGATGAAAAGAGCATACATTGATCATTGTCCAGGAACATCAACTATTGAAGTGGCAAGTTGGAGTGCATTGCATCATTCTGCGAGCACGTTAAGCACGTTCATCTTTTTGACTGATGCTCCATGGAGCTTGGGCAAGAGGGTTTTGGATTGAAGAAATGTGAAGAAAACGTGGTGAAGAAGCATCACAGTCGGGTTGGGTGGAATCCTAATTTCGGCGAGTTGGAGGATCGTCGGGGGTTTGGCTGCCAATTGGTGTTCGGGTCCATCTTCATCTTTGCCGGGGTGCTCTTGATGATCTCGATCAGCGCTGCAAGCATTGTTCTTGCCTTGTGACTTGTTTTTGGAAGTTGTTGGCAGGAGCAGATCTCAGATGCCCTGGATGATGACTACTACATCTTCGACTGCCCAGGGTTTGCTACTCAGCTATTTTGTCGTCGCTGCTTGCATTTTAGACACAAGATGCGAGGCAGATCGAGCTGTATTCGCACCTGCCTGTCATGAGAGAGGTTGTGGACATGTTGCAGAATCAGGACAGGAAAAGAAAAGATCGAACTCAGACGAGCCACAGTTTTGAACTTCCTGAAGTAATTCTTCCACCAAAACTCAACCAGCTGGACCAACCGCTGTTGCAGTGAAGCAACATCTACAAATTGCTCACCCCATTGTTCTTCACATCCAAGTCGACCAAGTCGACCGGGCTCCTGAACTCCTCAGCTGCTCACCGAGCCGAGGGGCTCCTCGCCTCTCGCCGTGCCTCGCGCCGCTGTGTCCCTCGAGGACTTTCGCGTCGCCGGGGTCTACTGCATCGATGTGAACTTCATCGAGGATGCGGAGGGTCCCGAGCACTGTCCCGTCAGGGGACGTCGTGACGGCGACGAGGGAGTTCACGTCAGACATGCAGACGAAACCACCAACAGACCCTATGGAAGTCCCTAATGGACCGGACTAGGATACGGAAGCTGTTGAGTAAGTTTGTTGATGTTTATTCTTTGTTTTTCTCTTTTGGAAGAGGTGCTTTCTGAAAGAGGCAACAAACCCAACAGTGTTGGTATCTTTTTGTTGTCAGAGAATGTCAGAGGTCAGTTCGAGCATGTGACAGGGCTGATCCGATCCAACACTGAGTTTGGGTCAGAAGACGGACCGAGCTTTGATCAGGTTTGAGCTGATGTACAATACATCGCCATGGCGCCATAGTATTTGTTGTGGTAGTTTAAGATAGTTTAAGTATGTTTAAGTAGTTTTAAAGTATTTCTTGTGCCTAGTTGGAGGATGCCAGAAGTCTTTGTTCAACACTCTCCCCACATCATTTCACTGCTTGGCCCAACCTTTGGCCCCCCTAGCAGGCAGTGTGGGACACATGTGTGTCCTACCCGGGTCCCTTATATAGCTGTGCCCCACAGCTTCAGGATGCCTCGAAGTTCCTCTCCGGCGCTAGGAGCTCGGGTGGATCCTTACCCCCCCCCCCCACAGCTTGGCACCGAGAAAAAGGGAGCCCAAAAAGGGTCCCATGGGCCAAAACGCTTCGATCGGTCCCCTCGATCCCATCGGTCCCCATGTCCAGTGCGTCACCATGTCGAGTGCGGGGTTGTCGCCATGGAAAACCACGCCATGTGGTCGATCCTCTTCCATCCGAGTTGCCTGGAACTGAGTGATGGAGCTTTCAGCAGTGAGGCCTTGTCTGCGCTCACTGCAATGGTGAATCTGGAGCTGTCTGAGCCCCAGGGGGAGCCTTGCTTTGTTTTTTTCGATCAGAGTATGAAGTCTAAAGAAAGCCTATAAAAATTAATGTGGTAGTTGATGAAAAAGGGTAGTGACTGTGTTTGCATCTATATATCTATATGCTTTTGGGATTCTAGATCAACCACCAAAGTAACATCGCGCGATCCGTTAAGATGCCACGCATGATCCGCAGGCCGCACATCAACGTGTTGACCAAGTGCGATCTGCTTCCACCCAATGTCATAACCCTGGGAAGAGGGTGTCAGTTAGTCATCATGTTTGGCTGTTGGAAGGAGGATGAAGGAGGAATGTGGTCCAAGTTGGGATGACATGTTGTGGGGATTTCTTTGAAACGCCGTAAGAAAAGGAGCGCAAGACGTGAAAGAGTTTGTACCATTTTGATCTCTTTTCATATGACATGTAGCCGCTGGGCGCCAGGGCTCCCCCTCGTGTCGAGGCCGACGTGGAAAGGTATACCGACGGCGACACGCAGGCACGACGCGTCGGACACATCAGACACATGCTAAAGGAGGTGTTTAGATATTTGTTGGTGTGGCATTCACCTTCCAGGATTCCACCTTAGTCACTTTCGCGAGTTCGCATCCCTAACTTCGAGATCGGACGAAGGAATATGTGGCAAGTGAGGATCGAACTCACGACCTTAGGATTATGAGACCTACACGCTACCAACTGCGCTATTACCACTCTGGTTTTTGGAGCTTGCTAGCTTCAGAACCGCTTTGCAGGCAAGTTAACCACCCCCAAACTGATCCTCACAGCTCTGCCGCCAGAATCCCTCAACCACCTGAGCCAAACGCTGCGCCACGCAGGCTATCTTGGCGGACTTGCGGAAGTCTACCCACCCCAGGCGACACCGCCGCTCCGCGGCGTGGGGCGACGCATGAGATTAATGATTACCGAAAGCGCGCGTGCCGAAATGGGACAGAATAGAACTCCACTCTTATCAAAAACTGAGCATCGAGCATGTTTGCAGGCATTGCCGGGCCAACCAATGGTCATTCAACAGTGTTTACCAGGCAATGACCATCAATGACCAAGGGCCCTTGGAAAAAACAGACTCTACTCACGCTGCACCCTGGTCGTTTGTTTTGATGGGACTTCTTTAAATTTTCTTTTGTCGCGGGATCAATCTGCATAGTCAAACAATTCAACAATTTGCATCTCCATCTCAAGGTTTCGACTGCTGAATGAAGCCTTGGGCCAGCTTTTGGAGGATTACTCCTTGGCGCGGGGGCCAAAAAGAAGATGTGGTCGAATGAAGCAGGTGCTTTATGTTCCGTCCATACCTCCTTCGGCCACGAGACTTCTATGTGTTAGTATATGTTTAAGATTCTGTCTGGTTTTTGGTCATGTGTCTCCAAATTGACCTGCAGTCACAACCTGAGCTGACGTGCCAGGTTAGCTTTGTGATGCTGAATCGGGAAGATGAGGAGAGCGCTGTGCAAAACTGCGCGGTTGAGATGCGACGCTGCGAGGTCGCTCAACAACTCAACAACCGACGCAGAACCTTTTCAGGAATGAGAAAGAGGTCAAGCACGCAGACAGTGTCATTTTCCGCTGAAGAGCGGAGGACTCCATTGAGCTTTGTTTGGCCCACGTGAATCATTGTCCCGCACTCGGAGAGACGACGTGAAGTCCCCGGAGTCTCCGGTGCTCCGTGCCGAGACGAGCATGTGACTTACAAAAGACCTCCAATGA